TCCGAAGAACGGAGTCCTCACAACACGACAGCGGGGACTCCGTTCTTCCTTATGCCAGTTTATTTTTAGCTGACCTGACTTAACCCTATTCCCTCCAGGAACCCGTACAATCACCATGTCGTGACAAGCTCCGCTATTAGCAGCGTGACTCTTGCTCGGATTTGCCCTCAGTCGATCGTGGGTTTCTTCAAGCGGAACGCGGAACCACGGCGACGTGTTGTAACTTCTGGTCAACATTCAGTTTTCCATTAAAAGTAAGTCAAGCAGTGGGTCAGGCTTCCAATTGAAAGCAATTAAACAGTTGAAAGACCAGGAGCGCCCATAGAACATTTAAGTGTCCTAATATGCGACGCAAATAAAACAATGGTCTGGAACCACTGCCTTCAGGGATTTTTAACAATGACATTGCTGGAACTCGAACCGGATGTTGAGCAAGAACGCATTGATTCTCTCAATCTCCATTCTCAGCCGTCTCTTCTCGTGACAAGAGTGATTGAGAAAAAGAAAAAGGAGAGGAAACGCCATGCATCGAACTTTTCCATTAAACGCTTTTCCCCCTCGTTGATTGCAGCAATATGGCATTTTACACCCTTCCCCCCTTGTTTGCGCTTCGTTCGATGAAATGCAAGAAGGATTATATGAAAAGGGGTGCATAAATCGATTGTCTGTTTGACTGGGCGTTACCACATTGTCGGATTGGTCCGTGGAATATCTTAGCATATGTCTGGACACGGGAAAGGAAAAGGAAAGGAAAGACCAATGCAGAGGCGATGGGAGAATTAATGGACAAGAAGAGAAAGAATCCGTGTTGATTGATCATGCCACGTTCATCTATCATGTTGAAGTGAAAAGCATGCCTTAAGCCTGTCCTTTTGTCCCAGGACTATGAATGGATATATTGAAGAAGCAGAGAGAGGAGAAAGAGAGAGAGAGAAAAAAAAAAGAAGAGAGAGAGAGAGAGAGGGGAAGAGACATGACCATCATGGGAGCTGAGCCAAGGGTCATGCCTTATAGCAATATTCCATGTGGGTGGTGTGGACCGTCTGTATCTGGGAAGGAACAGTCTGTGGTGAGAAGAGCCGAGGGAAGGGAGAGGAAATTAGCCGAGGATCCTCTATAATGGAGGAATCATGTTCCACAGCTTTCTATCGGCCTTGCTTGACACGAGTAGGGTCGCCCTGGCATACAGAGCTCCCGCCCTCATCAGAAGCACATAAATCAAGAGATATTATTTGCAAGAGACAGAGAGGCAGGAGAAAGGGGGGAACTATACGCGAGGAATGGATGGATGGATGGATGGATGGATGTATCAGGCAGGGAGAGGGAAAGAGAGAGAAGTCTTTGATTTTTCTATTAAACCAATCCCAGGAGATTCAGGGCGAGGATTTTAGCAATTGAAATTAGACGGGGATAGATTTGGAAAAGTCATTAATGCGACAATGGAGGGGAAGGATCCCCTTATCTTGTCGAAGGGGGAGGAGGAGGAGGGGGGAAAGAGAGGGAGGAAAGCTGAGATGGCAATGGAATGGAGGAGAGAATGTCTATACTCACTCTTCTTTATATCATGATCCTCCTCCTCTTTCGACCCCAACACTGCCCCTCCCCTCTTTCTCTCCCCCCCCCCTTCTTGTGCCTAATTGAATAGATGCCCGCAATCTCGCGTAATTATCTCGTGCTTGTCCAAGCGGAGAATTGCCCTAACCCTAACCATCTTCTGGCCACCTAACATTGTTGCCACTCCGTTAAATGCAGTGGAATGGCGCTGAATAGATGGTAGTCATTTTTCACGTCTCATTATCTGAATGTAGACGTATCCCGGGAAGGGCGGCTGTCATATCCACAATTCACGCTGATCGTCGACGATCTGAACTTCATGAAAGATGTGATGTACTTCATCAAATACCTGTTGTTGAGGAGCGGATTAGCACTGGCGCTGTACGCATATGACTTGCTTATCTTCGCGTTCATGCCTCTGGGGTACGGAGACAATAGGACATCGCTTGCGGTAATATCATATGCTAGATGACATCGTCGCGAACCCCGGGAAGACAATGCAATTACCATGCAAGAGGGGTGGCAGTCGAAAAAAGTCCACGGAATAATGGATGAGTCGGTGCAATCGGCCGGGTTGAATGCGACCAGTACGAGACGCCCAGCATACGACACAGCGCGGGTGGCCGTAAAAAGCTACTTTGCTCTCTTCGTTTTATACGTCTCTCTTTAAGCCAGTGACCATGGGGTTGATCCACGTTCTCTGCTTATAAAAAAAAAAGTGGAATAAGTCATAAGCCCTCAAACAATGAATTTCCTTTCGCCATGATATTTGTCCTTATTCACGAGAGGAGATAAAACTATCCCTTCATGGATCCCCATATGGCCTGTCGTCCTGTGGGAGTCCCATTGTATGCCAGTCATCCCTCATCGGAGAGGCATCCGGATTTCCATACATATGTCGCCAAGGCTAGTCGGACATAATCCTGTTTCTCCCCGTGTCACCGATCCAACACTTTCCCGACGTTGCGAGGAAAAGCTGCTGCTGCTAAAAAAAAAAATCGAGTTCTGCACGCTGGTTCCTCCGATCTGATGGGGACGTGAATATATGCACAACGAAAGGAAAATGCGGGGTGCAGCGTGCGGCCGCAGATGGCCTTGACTTCCCGGTTGAAAATGCTGACGAAGAGCCTGCAGTGTGAAAGGGCATCTAATGGCAGCGATTGGTTAGAATTGCAGCGAAGCTGGTTCAATGCAGACACTCCCGTCGGTTGCAGCGATGGCCTATTCATCATCTTCGTGAGAGAGGGATGTCCTATGTTTCACATCGGGATTTTCGCAATAACTCGTGCTATGGCGTCACTTTTTGTGCGATTGGACAAAAGAGCGCTCCATTAACAATCGGTTATTTTTGTCGTTGAGATCCGATTTGACATTTGACACCTGTCGTAGAAATCTGGAATGCGAAGAACATGAGGTGTCTGGTGGGAAAAGCGTCCGGAGATTGCTAATTAAATTGGGAGGGTGCCGTGGGAAACTGTGGAGGCGTTCGTGTCTATTTACATGTATTTCCATTTTTTTGCTGAGAATTTTCTTCAAAAAGTGTTGGATCGTAGGAGAGCTATTACCGTCGACGTTGGTACGAAGAGGAACGAATGCAAATTATGCGAATGGAAGCAGAATATTGGCTCAACCCTTTCATGCATGAGAGCATCAATTGAAAAAGATACATCGTATTTTTTTTTAATTACGTATTTGGGGCTGATTGCACCACCCCCCCCCCCCCCCCCCCCCCCCCCCCCCCCC